AAGAGTATATATATATCAGCAAAATGAAAATACCAAAGAAAATAATATAGTAATAGTGGCAGAATTTTTATCTGTCAGATTTCTACCGAAGAGGTCTCACCTTGAAGGCTCAGTAGCATCGCACTCTTCCTCGGAATGTAACACCTGTCTGACCAAAGCTAGTCATTCTCGCTCTTTTCGAGTTCGAAGGTTAAATAAACTAACGTAAATGCGAGCTAACTCTCAACTGGCCATCGTGCGAATACGAGTAGACTGGTGAGCAAGGTGTGAAGACACATAAGCGTCACATGGGACTGCTGACCCTTGGAATAACGGAACAGCTAACAGGAGACTAACACACGGACACACTGTCTTATCTAGTACGTATGGATTAATGACAGGGCGTAGACAGAGGGCAAGACCAAGACATTTTCACAGCACGTTTATTACTCTAAGTTTACGTATATAAAAATAGGACAAGTACAAGATCCTGTTCATGTTCTGTTGATCCTCAGCGACTACCAGGTATTTCAAGAACGTTGAACCATAAAACAGGACGTTTAAATTGAGACAAGCTATCGTACATTTTAATAAATCGAATTAAGCGGTGGTAATAAATATTTCGTTTACTCGTGGCATAATCGAGTCTTCGCGAACTTAGTGGAAGCCTTGGGCAGGAATTATCGAGTGACAGCTGTACAAGTAGCTGATGTTTATGAGCTTTATTCGAGGAAACTGAGATATGAGGGAGCTATGAGAAATAGATTATAGACCGTTTACTCACAAACAGATTTTAAAATCGATTTCATATTTATGGAACTGCATAAATCCCTTGAGCTATTAAACGATTGGTTTAAAAGAAATATAACACGTTATATTTGTATATTAGAAGAGTACTCTGATCCACGGTAGCTTTGCTGTCAACACGCTGTGTTACATTGTATTACTGATACTAGAACTACCAACCACTAATTTATGTTATGTCAATGTATAAAACAGGACGAGTTGCTTATATAATATATTTGAAAATGATCGATATAAACAAAGAAGTACATTAAGCATAAAATTCAGCTCCAGGACACAGTCTGCTGTCAAAGTATGTTTAACACTGGAACTATCAATCCAGTCAGAATTTTTCTTGCTGTAATTACTAGAATCGTATACCTGCTTTTAGAAAAAGATTAATATCAACTCATATTAGAGATAGAACTGTAATTACTATATTTAATTATCTACGTGGTGTCACTAATATCACTATTATCTATGTCTGCTATGCTGTGGTTCCCATTAAAGATAGTTCTACTGTCAATAACTTTTACACTCTTGGAAACATATATTCATTATTTCCTAGACTCAATTATACTCGCACACGTAAAACCAATACTGTCAAAAAGAATACACGCCTCTTTTTTGACAGAAGCACCAGCACATTTCCACCAACTCCAGAATCAAATACACAGAAATTGGTGCTTTTAGAAAAAGATTAATGTCAACTCATATTGAGATGAATTGTAATTATTACAATATATTTCATTATCTACGTGGTGTCATTAATATTACTATTATCTATGCTTGCTATGTTTAGATTCCCATTAAAGATAGCTCTACTGTCAACAACTCCAAGACTCTTGGAAACATATATTTATTATTTCCTTGACTGCTTTATACTCACACACGTAAAACCATTGCTCGTATACGTCTTTTTTTTGACAGAAGCACCTGTATATTTTCATCAACTCCAGAACCAAAAATCTTAAATAACAGAAATTGGTGCTTCTGTCAACACGTTGACTACTACGTCAATCCCTGGGGACTGACAGTGAACTTTCATCTCAGTCCCTCAGAGCTGACAGTAGACTTTTCGTTTGGACGGCGTGGATTCTAGGGACTGACAGCGACCTTTCGTTTGGTCAACATCGATACGTGAGACCGGCATTGCCAAGATTTAAATTATTAATAACAATTAATATATCGTAAAAATTAAATTCCCTGTACTGAAGTAAATCTTCACACTTTCGTGGCTATTTCTGACTGATCGTCTTTTGGTGATCGCCCTTTTGCCTTTCTGACATTCCCGCCCTATTATCTTCAATTTATAATTTCTATATTTATGCATTGACTGTACCATTCTCACAGTCCAAACGACAAAGTGAAACAAAGCAATCTCTGTTCATACTCTTCAGTATACTTCAGTACTGGGCATCCAGTGCTCGCTCCTGAGTGAAAGGTATAGCAAAATCGGCGCTGCACTGAACGTGTTAACTCAGTCATACTGTATTTTCTGCGACAATCCTAATCCCTGATCCCAGCACCTCTTCCTGACCATCGCGTTTACCCTGCAGTCGGTTGCACGAAACTTATCGAAACTCGTGTAGATGGCCGGTGGAAATTCGCAGAAAGGGAAGGGCCTGGCATCTCTGTCCGGGATAAAACAGACTACCCTACCGCGAGCACTCTCTTTGTTACCATTATCGGGCGGCCCCAAAGTGGCCTTATAGAAAAGAGGAATTATTGCACGACGGCGGCGGAGATAAGTGGTCTCATCCGTGAAACCGGCGGACAAAACCGTCGCGGCGCTGGTAACCGTTAGCAGCGGTAATAAATTGGCGGGGAATGCCCGAAGGAAGACGCGGTCTGGTAACACGGGGAACGGTTAGCAGTTATCGCGCGGCCTTTCAGGGGGAGCAGAGAACGTCTAGCTTCGACTCGGCCTTATAACTCAGCCGCTGGTAGATCGCGTCGCCGATAATTAATATCCCGGTGGCCGGTAATAGAGCGGCGTGAAAATTTGCGACAGCGAAATAACTCGGCTGCGCCCTCTGCGAGGTGTCGGCGGGTGCTGCGAAGGTGAATAATTCCGCCGGGTGGCACAACAGGCTGACAGCGGGGTAATGAGAGTTCGTCTCGGGGAGATCAGCGGAACTTTTATTAAAAGCCGAGCTTTAATGCACAAAGAACATTCATCTTGAGCGGGTTCGCTGGTCCAGCTGCCTCTGGGTTAGCTGCCGAGCGAGGACACGCCGTTGCTATTCAAATTTCGCGCTGATCATCTACCTGGAATTTCCTGGAAGATATTAAAATCGGAGCCGAAGATGGCGGCGGAGGGGGTGCATCGGGGAGGCTGGACAAGGAGAGGAGTCGCAGCCAGGGGCAACGTAATCTCGTTGCCGAGCATGGCTCGCGTACAATTGCTCGTGCAGGGCGAGTAGCGTAACTTTGCACTTCGTCTCGAAGGAATTGCAGCGAACTGGCACGGCCTACGGGGGTGAGAGGATAGGGAGTTGGGTAACTCGCGAGTAGCTGTGTCGTCGACGACGACGTCGATGTGTTTTCGCGTACACGGCCGCGTGGCTGTTGCAGATAATTTCCACGCTGTCTCGGCAAGTTCCCGTCGCCGCAGGTGTTTGCACCGGATCGAAAGGTTTCGCCAGACTTCCGATACGCCGAAAGATAGTTCGCCTCGCGTCTTCCGCGATTTCGCCGCCGCCATGCTCTCAGCGCGACATTCGCGTTCCTAGGAATTTGTCGCTTATTGACTGAGACGAGATGTTTGAATAGTCTTCGTGGGACTTTCGAGGAATTTTACCTGGCCTCGTTGCTGGGAATACTGTTCTGGGATGAGTGTATAAATATATATAAATTATACAGGCACCCAGAGTAGCACGAGCTTCTCGTTTCTTTGTTTAAATTAATTCTTTTGAAAAGATAGGGTTAGCTATGTACAAAAATCAATGAAAGTGGGATATCAGGTGTGAATATGTCGTTTATAACACCTTGATTGCCAGAACGAATTTTTATATTAATTCTTTGCATTCGAGAGGCGACTCTCAGTCGCCATTTAACACGTTGAATGCCACGCCAGTTTTACAGGGATTGCCTGCTGGCACCACGATGAATTTTCTATTATGCGATGCATATTATGTTGAAATATTATTTACAACAGATAAAGTCAGTTGTATAATCGCGTTTTATGTGTTTTTCGTGTTGGGGGTCACCGGTGACCCCCGCGGCGCTGTAGATCATTTTCAATTGTTTAAAAAGCAACTGGAAAAAATATTTCAATTGCCGATTTTAGGATGAAGTTAACGATGTATTTAGTGAATTGTTCTGATGACGAAGATTGCATTTCATCGAGCAATTACGAACCGCTTTAGCGAAAGGGTTAAAATTACCCAACTATATTTGCAATGTCGAAGTAAAATAATTCTGCGTCTTTTGTATAGAATCTGATTAAATGGTGACTGAGAGTCGCCTCTCGAGTGCAAAGGGTTAATATTGTATTTGTTTTTAAATTAACACTAGAACTACCGATCTTTAATGGGTAACCTAACTATAACGCGCACAGATTATAGTAATTTCAGCGGTACGATGAATACGAGTGAATACATTGATTACAGTTCTTTCTTAATACGAGTTGATACCAATTTTATTCTTAAAGCAGGTGTATGTGTTCGGTGATTGCAAAAAGGAAAATTCTGGGACCAGTTGTTTTGACCGTGTTGGTAGTTCTAGTATTAAATTAATCGTTAAAAAAAGAAAAGACACGTGGTTTCCTTTATTTGTAAATTTGACAGGTGTCCGTAGAAATAGGTACAGGTAACCCTCCTATAACACGGTAGATAGGTTCCTAGAAAATGCCGTGTTGTATGAGACCCAGACGCAGTACAAAAAGTGAGGTTACGTTCCGAAAACTTAGTAAAAACAATTTTTTTTTAAATTCTACATAAACAACTTAATTTCTATTAAAAATATAAATGCATGTACAACACAAAACAAAAATATTATTTTAATTTAATCAATTTCTTCGTCGTTACCGCTCATCTAGAAGTACAATGCTGTTCAAAGGTTTCTGCAATTTTCTTATCGTGTTATAGGAGGGTTCCCGCAATTTATGAATCGCGTCATAGTGAAACCGTGTTGTAGGAGGGCTACCTGTACACAGATAGCGTGCGTAAACCTAGTGAAAAATGAATTTAAACATAAAATGGCGTAACAGCGTGACTTTTCCCGTGTTGCAGACATGCTACGAGATGGAGAGGTACCTGAAGGACGAGCCGAAGCTGCAGTCGTACAAAAAGTTGCCCACAGAGCTGGACACGGCACCCTGGAACCTCTTCAGGCCCCCTATCTCGTGGACAGCGTCGACCGGCACCGCGAGCGCACAATTCGAGTCGCCAATCAAAATGGAGGTGAGTACCGTGCAAGTGACCGGCGAACTTTCTCCCATGGGGTCGTTTTCTCGAGTTCCATCCGCCAGGAGCGTGTCTGGAGCAACGTGTCACAGTCGTTTCTTTCTTTTTTCCCTGGTGCTCGCGCGACGCAGGTGACGACGTCGTCGGAAGACAGGGAAACGATCTGTCTGGACGACATAAAGTTCAGTCCCGGCGATCACAACCACAACGGCCGCGATAGGGATCTCCTGGACCGGCACCTCGATTCCTTGTCGATGTCGTCATCGAGTTCGGCGTGTTCTGCCTTGTCCTGGGACAGTTCGCCCTCCGTCTCGTGCACGGCCTTCATTCTCAAGAAAGAGCCCAGCGAGGACCTCGAAGAGGACGAGGAGCACGAGGTGCGTGCCACTCGGATTTGCATGCCACTCTAGTCCTTCCATCGACAAGGATACGTTCCTCCTTCCTCCCGATCTTCATTCACCGCACGTCTCCTATCCTCGGGCCTATTTCTGAAACAAATGATACCGGAACGCTCGTTCGTTTGCTTGATACCCAGTATTAACCCTTTCGGTACTACTTCCGTCCAATGGCGGCGACCATCAAACGTTCTCTAGGTACTACCGTCGCCTATTCGCGGCATCTACGAAACCTTCTCTAGGTACTACCGTCGCCTGTTGGCGACATCCAAGAAACGTCACCGATGATTGTCGCGATCCGAATGAAAAGTTTAGTGTCAATCACGCTCGAGATTTCTATGAATACCGCAAAATACGTCTTCGTAATTTCCAGTGCAACCACTCTTGTGGAAAACTTCCTCGTTCCACGAATGTATAACCACGGCCAGCTCCTCCGTACCGAAAGGGTTAAAGAGGAACAGGGCTGTTGACTCGCAGAAGCCAGTGACTCGGGGATCAAAATTTCGGTACACGAAAGAATTTCAGGATTTCAAAAATTCCCGTGACATGTTGGATTTTGCTTTTATTGTTGATATAGAACGTGGAATCGGAATTTTGGAATTGCCCCTCATCTCATTATCAGTTGTAATTTATGCGATTTATCGGTATCGGTGCTATTGCTTCGTGCAATTTTTAGTTTCCTTTCAGGGGCGAAGTACAGCGAAGTATAGTAGAAGCTCGATTATACGAATTAATTCAGGAATAAATCCAATTACACAGTCGGTCCGAATGAAGCAAATTTGCAAGCATAAATCAAGTAGAAATTAAACAGTTTTCAAATATAAATGTGTTCTAATTGAAAGAATACATGTGTACAGTGCACGAAACAGGAGCAAAATTCATATTTAATAAGAGTATATACAGATTTAATAAAATTGTGGATTTTCTCTCGTATGGATTTCATTAATTTCGTTTTCAATTATTTTTGTTTTATTAACTTCCCGATTGACTCTCAGTCATCGACCTCGAAGCTTAACCACTTCGGCCACGAAACCTTGCCCACAGCCATAATGCACACGATACATTGTGCTGTGTATCGACGACGAATTCGTTTTGTTCTTTCACAGACCTGTGATGAGGAAATCTTTGAAGCACTGAAAGCTTGTTTACGTTACAGACAGCTTTACTTGTAACGTAAATCAGCAGAACATATATTTTTACTACGATATTTCTAAACGTTTGCAATTTTATTTCTATAAATAAGAAATTAGAAAATTTAATTCAAAACCAAAGTAAAAATTTTTGACCATTATCTAAAATCGTCTCTTGGCTATTCGCGTTCATTCCTGGCTGTCAATTATAGTTGATGCTCGTACCGAAGTGACTAAGTAAAGAACACGTGGCAATAATTATTCTAGATTAGGAGTGAAGTATTAAAGTATTGAAACGAGATGACTCCCATAAATTTCCATAAATTAAGCACAGGGCTTAGAAAACTATATAGTATAAAAGTGTATTAACCCTTTGGACTCGAAGATTTCTTCGTTGTGAAGATGCAATTCGACGAAATCTTCTTAGATTTATATAAGCTCATCGATACTCTTTATACTAAAATTACAAAAAGAAAATCGTGAATTTTTGTGTAAAACGAACGAGTAGAATAATTTTATTTCGATGTTCATAATATAATTATCATCATTCGTTATCTAAATTATAGCATTAAAGCAAAGGGTGACTGAGAGTCAAAGGGTTAACACCTAACACCCCGCACGTTTCTCCAGTACTGCCTATCAGCAACAAACACATTTTTGAAGCAAAGCGTCTGAGATAAAGTCTTATTTTGAGCGGAAAAGATTACACGTCCTTGTGAAAGTATTTAATTTTATTTATTTTATAAATACGTTCATTCCCTCCACTCATTCCCAATTCACAGACCGTTACGATCCTCCATAAAGACGCGAATCCTTCAATTAGACATTTTAACTAACATCCTTCGAACCTCTACCTCCATCAGGAAAAACCCAGACCTCTACCTTATCCCTATTTCCATGCATACCCTGAAGAACAAGGGACCCGAATCGAAGGGACGATGGTTTACTCGTTTATAACCAGCGTCCCACGATTCGCGGACACCTCGACCTCCGAAACTACCCCCCGAGTCAACCCCCATAAAAGAATTAGAATTTCCCAAACCTAAACAAATTAACAATTTGTTTAAACTTCCACTTCCACCTACCAGTTCCGAACCTCCTGCACTTCCCTCCACGCCGCCAATAGGAGGAAAAACACACCCACCACTTAGACATCTCGACAGCCAATGACAGCAACAGACGAACATATAAAAATACACGACACCAAGACGAGAGACAGTACAAACATCAAAACAACACAAACGACACCACGGTAGAACGCATATCGCTAGTACATCTTGTAAATTGCTGTAAATATCTTGTAATTAAATTATATTTAAATCGTCAGAAATAGTTTACGTTCTTAGAACGACGTAAAACTTCGCCTGAATTCTTCATACAGTCGACAAGAAGATTCGGACGATACAAAATATGCATTTTCCAATTGCAAATATAAGATATAGAGAACCCTTGGTCCCTTCGAAGAACCCTCCGAGGCTTCATGTTGCCCGTAAGAGCTGAGGGCCCTGCCTTCGGATTTACGAAGCAAATGACGGAGCACTGAGGATTAACTTGCGAAACAAAATGTCATTGGCATAACAAAAATTCGTATAATCGACGTTCCACTGTACCCTATTCCCCTTCATCGTGACAAACCGTATCAACGTATCGTGGACGAATTTTCCGCCATTATTTCGTATCCCAATGCACCCCCGACACGCCTTGTTACCCTGCACCCCGGATCTCGCAACGGAGTTTGGAGCAACGAGCGAGCGAAAGGGATCGATCGGCTTGCCGCGAAAGGAGCCGATGAAACGAAATTAATTATCGCTGGTGGCGCGGGTGTCGCGACAAGAACACCTGCGTTTCCGGTTGAATCGCGGCGCCCGGCGCCACCCTACGCGCGTGCTGCCACCCCGACGTATCGCGACGGCCGTCAAATTTCCATTACCGTCAAACGCCGGTGTTATACGAATAACGATTCTTCGGATTTTCCGCGGGTCACGCGAGCCCTGTGTGTGTGTGTGTGCCCGTGTAATTCGCGCGGGCACACGTGGCCGCACGAGCCACGCGTTTACGTACGCGCGGCTGCGTGTAATCCGTTTACGGGGTCATTTGGCATTGATCGATTGGCGCTTGGCCGGGAACGGGGCCGTTTGGTACCGGTATCGATGTCCGATACCGTTTTAACCAGTTGCTTGCACTTTAATCAGAGCCACCCCCGCCACCGTTATCGTAATCCCCGTTGCGTAATGAATTACGTTACCGGCACCAGGAAATCGAGGAGGAGGAGGACAGCGGCTGCGAAAGCGAAGGTCAAATCCTGACGCCGCCGTCGAGCCCGGGCTCGGGTCAAGGTCATTCCAACTCCAGTCACTCGTCGAGCGGGAGTTCGATGCTCGACGTGCAGAACCTCAACCTTCATGGCACGGGCGGAAGGAGCGCCATCGTCAGGGTTACCACCAGCAACGCGCAGGGTGTCGCAAGGTGACGTATCCAATTTTCATTTTTATTCTCCTTTTATTACAGGTATAGTATAAATTGACATATTGGGTTGGCAAGAAAGTACTTTCGGTTTTCTAGCGTGAAATAGAACTCGATTTTTTCTATACAGTAAACGAACTTTAATCGGTCAAATATCTTCCATTCTATTCGATGACCTTTTGCCATCCTTCTGGTAACTTCGTGATCCCGCGCTCGTAGAACTTCTGGTCCTTATCTGCAAAAAACTTAACCAAGCGCGTAAATCTCAGAAGGTCGACCAGAACTTTGTGGGTAGAACTTTCAGTGAAAAATCTTCAGAACGAAATTTTTTAAACTAATTATGACACGTGCGTTCTGTTAAACGATCAACGCCGTAAACTTCTCGTATCTCTTTGTAAACTTTGTAAACTTCTTGTCTTTATGAAAATAAAAAAGTAAAATGTGTCGAAAATGATTATTTTTGCACTCCATGTTAAGACTGACCGTGAACTGACAGTTATAAACGAAATTACACGGAATTTCGCGAAATAGCAACGTAAAGGTATCGTCTACCATGTCTCAAAAGAAAAAAATTCTAACATTGACAGAAGAATAATTAAACAAGCATAACGTTATTTACCGATGCAAATCGAAATTACTTTCTTGCCAACCCAATAGTATAGATTGGTATAGATTTGGAGGCACTCGTGTTTGAATTTCGTTAGCTTCGTGTGAAAATGTATCGTTAGGATATTATAGAGAGGTGTTTCAGGTTGTTTGCGAATTTAGGTTAGGTTTAGGATTTTTGTGTCTTGTATTGGAAGAAGTGGATGACACGGAGTAGACCTCATTGACATGTCTCGAGTTTCTAACCTCTTCAAGGATACTGGCACATATAGATTATGATTATTAAAAGTGAAAAGGAAATTGGAATCAGTTGGAGAATTATTTACCATAGAATCAAATTATTGTAACGTTAGATTGACAAAAATTCGTCCATGAAGAGGTTCTTAACGTAGTATAATCGAAGATAGTATGATAGTATAGGAAAAATTTGTGTTATTATATGTCACATAGATTAGTATTCTTCCTCTGAAGACTGAGGATACGCTGATGTATATAATGTAGAATTTTAAGTATAATACTACCCCGGTAAAAATTTTTGAATTTTTCAGGAATGAACAGGAGTTTCAATTATTTTTCTTTTCTTAGTTTTTACTAAATCTGCCAGGGTTCTAATGATCATTTCTAAACTTTTGGTTTAAAATTCCATAGTTAATTCTATCTCTGTGGTCACTCGATTTCGTGATTTTTCTTATAATATACATATAATTAATTATTCGATATTATTTCTTCGTTCCTCCTGTCATTAAACAGGCCGTGGTAGATTTAATATTAATTTTAATATTTTAACATTATCATACGATAATTTCGTATTATCGAATTTAGCCGAAAAATTTTTGCCGGGTATAGTATAATAGAATCACTATACTCTCGTCTTGATGATTTATAAAATTCGTTATACTACAACTATTATGGTTCCACGAAGGGTATAGTTCATGAAATTATAATCGTAATATAACAATGATAGAATCAATACTCTGATCCTGAAGATCATCGTACCCCAAAAATTGTTACTATAATATTCCACGAAAAATAGTAATCTCGCTCCGAAGAAAGCCAAGGAGCTTCGAGAATCAGTATTTATAAAATATCTGATGGACGTAGGTAAAATCTAGTCCACGATGGAACAAAGAATCCACGTTGCTGCCCCGAAGACTTTGTCTTCGTGGGAGATCGATGGGAGGAACTATTAGTGGAACGATTAACGAGCCGAGTTTTGTTTGACCGGCGCTGAAGAACTTGGTCTATTTTGTCAAACTTTATGCCTCCGTCTTGCCTCCATCGCTTAACGACGGTGCATCGTAAACTGACGCAAAAAGCGAGCGGAGGGGCGGGCTTTTTGAACTTCGGCATGTAAATCGTGGCCTAGAAACTACCACGGAGATGCCGCTTTCTTTGCATCCTATCCCATGGACGGCGATCGATCTATCGGATAAATCGTGAGAAAAATCGGCGAAATGGTCGGGGCCATGAAACTCTAGGCACTAGCTCATTAGGGAAACCGGTTGAGCGCGGAGGCTAGGGAAAAAATGGCGGGGCAAAAAGCGTTTCGCGGTTAATCACGAATCCATAGAGGAACGCAGTGGCAGTATGGCTCCGTTTTTCTTGCAGACTGATCTCCGTCACAGCGAACGGCTACCCTGCGGTCGCAGGCACGCAACACGCACACGCAGGGACAACTGCAGCTGCGAGCACCGTGGCTAACAGGCACCACGCGAGGAGCCACGAGCACAGTCCGCCAGACACGAAGCGCAGGATACACAAATGCCAATTTCCGGGTTGCAAGAAGGTTTACACCAAGAGCTCGCATCTGAAGGCCCACCAGAGGACGCACACAGGTGAGTGACCCCGTCTCCACCGTTCTCCATGGTGCATACCGGTCGCGAACGATCGATTAGCCTGTGATTAGAGTCCAGCAGAGAGGTTTAATGGAGCAAAAAGTTCGACCGGAACTGGCCGATCGATGGGCCGAGTATCGCGTTCGAAATAGAGCGCCGATGCTTCGATTAACATTCCCCGAACAGTTTCTTTGCCAGCCGATTTCACCTCGTCTTTTATGCGTCTCCGGGAAACTGTTATTACGCGAATCCAGCTGCCTTGTTGGAATACTCGAAACTGATCCCGTTAGATCATTCTCCTCTGCGTTGTCTTTGGTACTCTACCTAGTTTTATCATCTAGCTGTTCGAAAGGTGGCTCTGGTAGGCCTGTTCCGTTGTTCGTTTTTAGCAAATTCTGCGTAGAGATAATTTGGCTAGGCATCGAACTCGATGCGTGATCGTGGAAGATCACGGAAGAGGAGAGAGGGGAAAAAGAGACAGGAAGCCTCCATTTTGGGTGATAGATATGAGGTTTCTTCCTTTTGCTTCTGTCAATGGATTTTAGTTAATTTAGAAATTGGTGTAATGATTTTTCTGTCATCTTCTGAGCAATAGTGTTTTCTTCATTCTCGTCAGTGGCTAAGTTAGGATTGTATAGGATCACAAAGAACGTGAGAGAGATTTATTGAGACAGTACACTTGTGAGTAACATTGATATAGTCAGCTGTTGTGTCTTATTTTCTAGCAAGGGAACATGTTGAGGAGGGAAATGTATTTTTGCATTTGATATAAAATTCACGACATCAACCATCAATCTATTCAAGCTTCTATGTACTGGTATGACTATGTTTTAACATGAACTTTGACATTAAATTTGAGGTTTATTTCGAAAATTGTTAGACAGCTGTTGTCCAAATAGCCAATAGCGACCAATATTTGCGAGGGATTAGTGAGGAACTAGCGAGGGGATGATGCATTCGCTTGGCTTCTTCTCGCGTGCAGACAGTACATCCTACTATGTTACATATACACGTATATATGCCTCGAGAAAATAAAAAGAAATCGAGAATTGGTAGCTTAGAGCCTAAAATCGAATTGTGTATCCAATTACCTCTCTCATCCCTGTGTCGTGCCTTCCATAGACTCGCAAACCTAACCTAAAAAGTATCTATACATCGTATTAATGAACATTATAGGAACTTAAAATCTAATTGTGCCTTTGTCACTGTTAAACGAGATACGAGTATATGAGAGAGAAGGAAGAAAGTGGAATTGTCAGTGAAATAGCTAGTAGGCTCGTTGTTCATTGGAATATTAATTTTAAGTCAGGAAATCCTATGTTTAGGACATAGAAGCCTCACTAAGGATTTTCGAAAATTCTCGAATTCTTCGGAATCCCTCTGATAACAAGTATAGTTCGGTTTCCACGTATCCTATTCCTCTCATCTCTGAATCGTTCGTTTCATACACATTTAGACCTAACCTCAAAAAGCATCTCTGCACCGTAGCCAGACTAGGCTCACCAAAAATTCAAAATTGGTCAGATAGTATGGTTTCCACGTATCTAATTACTCCCTTTATCCCTGTGTCGATTGTTTCATATACACACATAGACCTAACCTAAGAAGATATCTCTGTGTCGCCCGTTTCATACACACCTAGACCTAACCTCAAAAAGCATCTCTGCATCGTACCCAGGCTAGACTCATAAAGCTCATAATCGATCAGATAGTATAGTTTCCACGTATCCAATTATTCCCTGTATCCCTGTGTCGTTCGTTTCATACACATTTAGACCTAACCTCAAAAAGCATCTCTGCATCGTACCCAGATTAGACTCATAAAGTTCAAAATCGGTCAGATAGTATGGTTTCCATGTATCCAATTATTTCCTTTATCTTTTGTATCGTTCGTTTCATATACACCCGTAGACCTAACCTAAGAAAATATCTCTGCCTTGTAGACCTAACCTAAGAAAATATCTTTGCACCGCATCTGAACTAGACTCAACAAAATTCATAATCGACCAAATTACCCGTTCAATTCCAGACGTTCAACTTACATTCGTCTGTCTTTCGATAATCACGACTCGTTACCAATAATCGAATCCGCGAAATGGGTCCGTCGATTAATAAACGTAACGGAACGCGTGTCTGTCTGGGTGCGATATCTCATGGTCGGTGGATAATTTCGCGCGCTTCACGCGACACCGCGCTCGCCCTTTCTTCGCGATTCAGTTAATCGTTAGTCACGCGATTATCCCCGGCGTCTGTCGCGAGGGGGTTCGAAGCGGACGGGGAACAATCGCGGACGCGTCCCAGCGAGCAGCCAAGGGATAAATTCCCCGACGCGTTCTCTGCCTCCCTTATCGCGGCAAATAACAATGCATAATTAATTACGAGGCTGAATTAAGGGAGCCTCGTTCGGCTTGTCGGGTCGGGTACTCGAACCGCGTACGGCAGCCGGATGAATGCGAGGCCCACGTGCGCGAAACCGGATGATACATGTTTAATAGCGCCGAGAACCAGTCTGCCCGCGTGTTTTCTTCGATCGATAGGGGGGGACAACGGTTCTTTGCCACTTCGCTGTACGAATTAAATTACGCTTATCTCGCGGCGGGAATGTAAAGCGGTGGTTGGCTTCCAGGTGAAGATGTTCGTTTAATCGGATTTCGATATGCTAGTCGGTTTTATTTAACGAGCGATGTATTATTCCCAGATGGTCCTGAGAAATTCTCCGCGTGTCTGTAATAGGATTAGCTATGCCGAACCAGCCAGTGGATTTTAGGATTTTTGGCCAAGTTATTTTATCGATACATCGTTGGTGCAATATTCATTTTTCTTATTTCGGGATTTTTTGTTTAGGTATTTTTATTTTATTTTATGTATATTAAGTAGATTATTAAATTTATTCGAATTTAGGAATTAATATTGGAAATTTTTAATTATCGTTATCATACTACACCTTGGGAAAAGTTAGATTAATTGGATTATTCGAATTTAGGAATTAATATTGGAAATTTTTAATTTTTGTTATTATACTACACCTTGGGAAAGATTTTCGGTCAGACAGGGTAATACGAGATTGAATTAACTTTTCGAATGTAGAATGATATATTTAATAGGAGGGTGGTATTAAAAATGGCTAGATTCAGTTTTCCATTCCCTGTTCTTATAATTCGTGAAAATGTGCAGCTGCTTTTAGCGAAGTTAATGGTAATTTTTGTTTAGGTATTTCTTACATTGATTAGTATTGTCTATACATACTATGTTTTGATAGTTTTAATAGTTTTGAACCCTTTATTATTTGTATTATATTAAAACTAGTTAAAACGGTTCATTTATTTTTGCAATTCATGCAAATCCTGTCGCTAAAATTACTGTTGACTTTTATTAAGATTTACATTAAATTCGCATTAACCTTCAAGCGTTTCAGACTGGTCTGACGCACATGCAGTGTTCGCCCTCTCACGTATATATAATTTAGGAAATTTCACTATTTTCTTTCTTTCTAACAGTAATTAGTGCCCCATTTTTATTAATTTCGTATTAAAATAATTTTGGAACATTTAGAAATTTAATTATTTTTATTTATTAATACCCACGGATTAATAATTCCACTGTCTTCAGAAGCGTGATTCTTCAGAAGTGTAATTTCATCTGACAGTGGACCAAAAATTACAGAGATACAAAAATTGCACAGAATCCATGCTAATATTCCTAATACACGATCGAAGATCCTTAATTTTCACCTTAACTTAATTTAATCTACTTTGGTCAAGTCAAAATCACCCCATTTTCCACCCCGTGTTTCATCGCGAAGAAAGAAATTACTAGACGATTTTTCCTGTAAGAAACTGACCAATCACGTTATTACCATGCAGTCAGAGTTCCTCTCGGTCTCTGACGACGACACCAGGTGACGACGGAGGACTGTAATTAACGAGGACTCCGTTACTCTTTCTGCCACCCTCTTCCACCCTCCTCTTTTCGACCGCGATTTTTGTCGCGTCACGCCTCGAACCCCTACGGCGGGTGCAGATACGCGTTCAGGTGTACACGCGCGTAATTACCCTCGCGAAATCACGCCCGGTGCTCGTGACTCACGAGCTCGCGCCATTTTTCCACGCACCTCGCGCCGGAAGTGCAGGTGGAGGACGCGTGGGCGTTGATTTCGATGGGAATTTCTCATTCGCTTTTTACGAACGCGATTATGAAGAGTCGTTTTTGACACTTTGTTAAGGGTTGCCTGCAATGTGACAGGTTTTTCATAAGGATTTCTGTATCAGGATTAGCAGTTCGGTGTTGGATCATAAGTAACATAAATTAGGGTTGAAGTCTAGTTCTTTGGATGCATTTGTTGTTTCTGTGAAGAAATTGGTGTTTGAGAAGAAACAGAGCCATTTGGTTCTTCTTTCGATATTTTATTATTATTATATATTAATATTATTAGTATATATTGGTATAATATACTGCTAATATTATTGTATATATATATACCAATTGTTAATATATTTTGAAGTATAAAATGAAGCGTGCTAACATTTTTTAAATTTAGTATATTAAGATATATTACCTATTTCTTTGAATAAATTAGTGTTTGCAAAGAAAAATGGCGTATTGGTCACAATTCTATTCTTTCTTTTTAGCAGTTTAATAAAATTGTATTCGGCATAATTCTGAAATTATTCCATTCATTGATTCTATTAATAACGACGTATTTTAAAATGATTAAAAAATTATTTACGAATTGTCTGTAAATTTTGTTACAAAATTATCATTAGATACAATTCTGAAATCATTCCTGTCATTAATCCTATTGCCAGCGACGTGGTTTAAGTAACATTCTTAGAAAAATAAAAATTATTTTCCAATTCTGTCAAGTGTCCATCGAAACGTAAAGAACCCGATCGTCTCTGTATCTTACTGCGAAGCCACGAGCAATCTTAAGGATAATAAACGCATCCTGTTAAGATGGTCAAAGGATATTCTCGAAAATCTAAACCGCTCGACACACGGGT